CCCTTAACTAGCAAGTTACTAATTTTACATCTGAAGTTTTAAGCTGAGCTGAGTGGATGACATCAGGAGCTATTGATATATTCTGTCAAGGTGTTCTAGAGTATTGTTGCTTATTATCTGAGTCAAAGTCAGCTTGGCCTCAGCTATATCCTCTCTAAGAAAGATAGGTGTAAATAGTTCAGTCAATTCATGAACAATCTTCATATCCTCCTTGACAATCACTTTCATTCTTTTTTTCTTTCAAACCAGATGCTTCCTAGCTGTTTTCTGCTTCAAATATAAGTATTTAAAAATGTCATATTTTCTCTGTTTTATTGCCACAGGCTTTTTAACTTAATGATGACGATTTCTTGTTACTTTTTCTGTCAAAATGTGTGCTGCATTTTGTTCTCACTGGAACGTTCTTCATTTTCACAACTTCCTTGACATTGCTAGAAAGTCATGCTGGTCTGTTCTTAGGCTTGATTATTTCTTTCTTATATTGTGGACTATACATTTTGCCCAAGCCTACATTATTATGGACTGAAGCATCATGGAGAAATAGCTCTTTATTGCCTTTTCTTTTCAGTCTTTTTTTAATGAATTCCTCATTGTTGAGGTGGTTTATTTTTGTAGTCACATTTTTGAAAACCTTGCACTAGATCATAGTGATTATCTAGGATTAAATCTTGGGTCACCTGTCTTCTGGTCATTCCAAGGCCAATTGTTTTGAAGCACTGTCATTGGTATCTCAAAGAGTGAATCCTTTGAGGGTAACTGACCCTATTCTCCCCCCCCCCACCATCCACAGACATACATTAAAATATTTTTTTCCTTTCTATACCTCAAGATCACCATCATAGTTTTTTAATCAGGTAGCTTACAGCCTTTGATCTAATTTACCTTTCTGATCAGATATTGCTTTCCTATCATGAAGGGCTCTAGTCTTCCAACATTTTCTAGTGTATTAACTTACACCTGTTTGATATGTGGTACAATACCTTCCCCCTCCCTGTCCTTTCTATGGCAGGAATGTCTATCTCACTGATTCCTTTCATTCCACCAAGTTTTTGTTACACCAACTATATGTTTGTTCATGACTAATGACTCTAATTGTGCTTGGGTTTGTCACTAGAAGTGTTACCACAGAAGAATCTATATGCTATGTCTTATTTCTTGTTGTCTGCATGAACCATTCTGCATGGCATTTTAAAAAGTGCCACACTTTCTTATTAATCCATTTCTAATCCTGACCCTAATCCTGACAATATTTTCTGAAATATTTACACCCTTCCAAATCAGATGCTGTTCAGTTCCCCGCCCCCAAGGGCAGGGGAACATGAAATGTGCCAGCAGCCTGCTTCAACTTTGGTTCAGTTGGAGTCAATTTCTTGGGTAGAGATTCAGTTGGATCCAAGTCTGACTCCACTTTTTCTTCTAACACTATTGTCTTATCGATACATTGAGACTACTGAACTATATCTGTCTAGGAGATAGTCATGTACATAGAACAGGCCAGTGGCCTTTTTCAGAGTGCAAGTGCTCTTTTCAAGAGCCGAGGTGGCGCAGTGGTTAGGGTGCAGTACTGCAGGCCACTTCAGATGACTGTTATCTGCAGTTCAGCGGTTCTAATCTTACTGGCTCAAGGTTGACTCCGCCTTCCATCCTTCCAAGGTGGGTGAAATGAGGACCCAGACTGTGGGGGTGATATGCTGACTCTGTAAACCCCTTAGAGAGGGCTGAAAGCCCTATGAAGTGGTATATAAGTCTAACTGCTATTGCTATTGCTATTTAAAATTAAAAAAAAAGAATGGGAGGGAAGAAAAATAATCAAAANAAAGAGAAAGAAAAACAGAGAGATGAAAGAAAAAAAAGGAAAAAGGGACAGAGAGACAAAAGGAAGGAAAAGGAGAGAGAGAGAGAGAGAGAGAGAGAGAGAGAGAGAGAAAACACATGGCCAGCAAGCCACTCCCACCAGGTCACATGGCCATCAAGCCACTCCCATAAAGGAGGCCACACCCACAGAGTAGGTTCGAAATTTTTTTGAAACCCACCACTGGTCTTCGGACAGGACTGGCTCTTCGGCTTTGAAACGGAGATGAGCACCGCCCCCTAGAGTCGGGAACGACTAGCACATATGTGCGAGGGGAACCTTTATCCTTACCACCCGCGTGAGAACGATCTGCCTTTCCCGCATTCCGTGATTCAATTCCAACGGGGGAACTCTAGGGACTTTCTGCCTTTTCTGCACTTGAGGGGAGGGTGGGGGTCGGTCTAGATGATCCTCGGAGCACCTTCCAGCTCTATAGGGGTCTACGATTCCGCCTGCAACTACAGGAGAGCGAAATCTTGCAAGAGGCGGCAGCCAAGGTGCACCGTAGCATGTAAAAATATGCTTTGCTCAGCCAGAGAAGCTTGGCAGACCTTCAAGTGAGATTTTTGGTTTCAAATCCCTTCGGTATCGAAAACTAAAAATAATGAACGCTAGGTCAAACCTTCGGAAGTGCAGTAATTGGGGAAAGCAGGGCTGGGGGAGGAAGCATCTGCTCGGCAGGAAAATATTCCAGATTTACTCCTAGGGGAGAGGAAGAGGGTGGAAGCGTGGTTCCACAACAACCAGGGTAGTAGTTGTTACGGTAGCCATGAGGAACTACAGAAGAAATATCTTCAATATAGGCCAGTCCTGGGCTTACGACCACAACTCAGCCCAAAATTTCCGAGGCTAAGCGAGACCGTTGTTAAGGGAGTTTTGACTCACGTTACGAACTTTCTTGCTGCAGTTGTTAAGTGAATCCCTGAGGTTGTTAAGTTAGTCACACGGTGGTTGAGGGAATAGGGTTTCCCCGTTGACTTTGCTCTTCACAGGTTCACAAAAGATGATCACCGGGACACTGCAACCGTCATAAATACGAGGCAGTTGTCAAGCGTCCAAATTTTGATCACATGACCACAGGGATGCAGCAACCATCATAAGTGTGACAGACAGGGAGAGTGAGTGAGAGTGAGAGAGACAGACAGACAGACAGACAGACAGACAGAGTGAGAGCGAGAGACAGAGGGGAAGACAGAGAGATTGAGTGAGAGTGAGAACGACAGAGACAGAGAGGGAGACAGAGAGGGAGAGACAGAGACAGACAGACAGACAGAGACAGGGAGAGTGAGTGAGAGTGAGAGAGACAGACAGACAGATAGACAGACAGAGTGAGAGAGAGAGACAGAGGGAAAGACATAGAGATTGAGTGAGAGTGAGAGCGACAGAGACAGAGAGAGGGAGAGACAGAGAGACAAAGAGTGAGAGACAGACAGACAGACAGACAGAGACAGAGAGAGTGAGAGGCAGAGAGAAAGAGAAAGTGAGTGAGAGTGAGAGACACACAGAGAGAGAGAAACAGAGACAGAGAGAGTGAGAGGCAGAGAGAAAGAGAAAGTGAGTGAGAGTGAGAGACACACAGAGAGAGAGAAACAGAGAC